ATGACAAACTTTATATGTGTATTAATTCTCTCTTTCTCTCTTTCTTTCTTTATCTATCTATCTATCTATCTATCTATCTATCTATCTATCTATCTATCTTTCTATGTATCTAGACTTCCTGATGTTATCGGACTGGATCGAGGTCGACCCTAGCGTGCGTCACCTTTGGAAAGTGCCTGAAAAACCATACCACGGGTTGACACAAGCCTTGTGAGTGAAATTGGGTAGACGAAACTTTTGGGGGCCGTCGACAGCTGTGCTAGCGCGAAGCCACAAGTCATCGTGGTCGAGGGCTTGAGTGTGATGGCTTTGTTCAAATGGTCGATCACGCTAGATAACACCCTCTCTCCCAGAAACTGTAACTAAGGTCCGCTCAGCATAGTTGCAGTATAAACCACATTAGAAGACACCCTAGTGAGAGATTTGATGAAATGCATACAATTCAAGCCAGGAAGCCCCAACCAATCCAGATTTGTAGGCTCTGTGAGTGAGCGTCTGCAATAGGGATTGGTTAGCTGCCCTAGGCGATGGGTATCCTCGAATACGAGTGGCCAACTATATATATATATATATATATATATTAACAAAACCTATTATTTTTAAGTTAAAAACCACACAATAACAAGTAATTTAAGAGAGACTGACATATTTGTTACATCTTTGTACATGACGTTCTTTAGTCATTTCAAGCAAAAATAGTTCAGCGGTCAGCATTTTGTATGACATCCTTTGCTTTTGATTACTGAATGGGTGTGGTGGGAAATGCTAGGAATAAAGTTGTTTTAGTAGACAAACGAGATATCTTATATCCAGACATCTTTAATAACCTCTCCCAGTGCTTCGTTACTTGAGGTTTTTCTGCAAGCTCGTCTTTGACAATTTCCTATTAATCTGGGTTGTTCCCTGGTCAGTCCAATGTTGTCACATCGATCTTGTTCAAAGGATTCTGAACAACATTTGACCGGTTGCATGAAACTCTATCATGCGTATGTTTTTTAAATCAATTCACCCCAAGCAAGGCGATAATGCTACTAAGATGCAAGGAACTACTCGAAGTGAAAGATAATGAAGAAAACTCAAGAAGGGATCTGAAACCCAATCCTAAACAGGAAACAAAGGATAAACTTCTCGCCCTGTTCAAAAGATCGGGGAGGATTATGAACTGGTTGATAGGCGAAGTATTACGCACAGATGAATGTACATATGCTGTTTCAGTTTCTCCTACGTCTGTTCCCCATTCAACGTTGTTCCTGATGGCAAGAGTTCACCTGTTCTAGATTTGGACATGGAGACCAAATCATCTGGATTAGTTGGTGCTTCCTGGCCTGAACTGTATCCATTTCATCAAATATCTGACTATTGTGTCTTCTAATGTTTCTTTTGCGATAACGAACTGAGTAAATTCATTTGAAAACATCATTTTGTTCCAGTCTTCAGTTGGTCAAGTTTCATGTTGCTTAGTAAATGCAAGAGCGCTTGGATTTCATAGCTGCAATTAGCAATGGTTTACAAGCCGGTTTGAATGATTTCAGGCCAAACTCGAATCTTAGACGAGGGGACACTGTCAGAGAACTGATATCTATACTATTTTGAAGCAGACCAACGCCTATCTTCTTATAAGTATTTGGGGGTTGTTTAAAAATGTGCTTTATCAAATTCTCATCTCCGGTACAGGTTTTTCTCGGACGTTCACTAGTCGTTAAATGTCTCTGAATGTACACACTGTTTTGTTACAACCTACTTTTACTTTAATCCCATGTTCGGAATAACCTTAATCGCGTAAAACCAGAATCTTGGCCCTTCGTGTTTGTGAAAAGAGAGATTTATGCCCATATTTTAAGCCTAATTTAATACACAAATACTGTTACAATGGCTGCTGATTTGGCAATGATAAACACTTTCCTACCATAAATCATGTGTTAATAATGGCTAATGTAATAACAAAATGATATTTCATCATTAAATCTGATGTAATACAACATAAATAAATAAATAACATTGTTACAGCTAAGTGAAAGGTGTAAATCCATCCCTTCCCTGAGTGGCAAACATGTAATATGCAGCTAAGGAAATGATCGTTCATATTGTCTGGATCATCCCAACTACGATCGACTCCTACATATTTTAGAAGCATACACGCGTTTGAGTTGATATTCCTGCTTTTGTTTTTTAACAAGTGCAATTGACATCTACCGATCTGGGCAGACGAAAGTCTTTATCAAGACTTTCATCTGCCCAGACTTTTCCACAAGCACTGTTTCCTTATAATCTATATATTGACCAGTTTAGTTCTAATGGCACAGATTATTCACAACATTTTTGCAATCAGGATGAAAAGGCAAAAAGCGACGAAACTCGTGGAAATACTTTGTGAGTTTTTTTTAAAGTGCTTTTATTTCATATCATATCGCACTGTAGGGAGGGTAGATCAAAATGATCTAGCCTCCCCACTGTGCGAGTTTTGCTGCTTGTCAAATTGTACTCCTCCGGTGATTTTTTTAAAGCATTCAACCCCAAGCAAGGCGGGAAGTCATTAGCACGAAAGGGGCTACAGAGAGTTGGAGTGAGAGCAAATAGGAGTGATAGAAAAAAAGATGAAGAGAAGGTTAGGGGATAGATCAGGGCATCTGGAGACGTCGATTGACATTACATTTGAATAGTTGGAGATTATAGCTATCAGGGAAACAGGAATTGGGGAGGGAGTTCCACAGGCGAGAAGTGCAAGACATGAAGCTATTGGAGTAGAAGAGACGGCTACAATTAACAGTTTCGACAGTGAAAGGGCGTGAGCGAGATGCCAGCCTAGTTGAACGCTTAAATTCATGAAGTCTGGGAACCATCGAAAGCAGCTCATCGGAGCAATTACCGTGAAAGTAATTGTAAAAAAGACAGAAGGAGGCGACGGCACGTCTGTGAGAGAGCGACTGCAGACGAGATGCCAGATCAGGGTCAATTACATTGCATATCCGTCTCTGGACCTTGAGATAAACATAAGGGACACCAGACCATATATGGCAGCAATACTCCATGCAAGGGCGAATGGTTGATTTGTAGATTTGAAGGATCGACTCTGGCGAGAAAAATTTCCTGGCGCGGCACAGGGCGCCAACTTTCCTTGTAGTGGACGAAGCTATTGACTCAATGTATTTGTTCCATATCAGGTTGGCAGTCAATGTGAGACCGAGCAGTCGCAAAGAGGTGCTCTCGTAGAGATGAGCATCAGATATTCTAAGGGGGGTGAAGGGATGGTTCTTTGTGGTGAGTAATAGAGAGCAGTTTTGTTTTTGAGGCATTAAAGTTATCCAGACAATTCCTGCTCCAGTCCACAACCGATTGGAGGTCCTTTTCGAGACGAACGGCCAGGTTAGTTTATCAACGACACTAGATCTGTTTTTGAGACAGGAGTAAATTGTAGTGTCGTCCGCGTAGATGCCAACTTGGGAATCTATGACGTCAGGAAGATCGTTGATGAAGATAAGTAAGAGAGCCTTGGGGAACATCTGCGTTCGTGGGATAGGAGCTGGTGGAGAATCCGTTGAGAATGACCTTCAATGTACGGTTTGATAAGGATGATTGTATTAAGTCAAACAATTGACCTGAAATTCCATAACCCTGTAGCTTGCAAAGAAAGCTGGCATGCCAAACGCTATCAAACGCTATGGAGATATCTAGAGCCACGGCACGAGCTTCTCCGTTATTATGAAGAGCTTGGTAAACAATTTCAGTTATGGCCGTAAGCACATCATTGATAAAATACAAAGAAAAATCTGCAATGTTGTTGGTACTAAACTGGCATCTCGGCTTCAGTGACTATCCCTTCTCCGTGACGTAGCTTCCCTGTGCTTTTCTATAAATACTTTCATCATAATTGTTCTGATGAGCTTTGGTACCTAGACTTTATGAATTTAAGTGCAGTACTAGATTGGCGGCAAGGTCTCATCATTTTACAGTTGAAATGAATAGAGTTAAAACGTAAGTTCTATATTAACAGTTTCTTCCGTCGCATTTCTTGCAGTTTCTTGCTTTTCAGTCAAATATGTTCTTCAAAAATTGATATACAGTGTTAATCGTTATCTTTTGTTTTCTTAATCCATGTTTTTTTTATTGCCCTCTCTCCTTAGTAGTGTCTTTTTCTCATATTCTCTCACGCTCAGTAAATCCATTGTGCGTTAGTGACTTTGTAAAAATACAGCAAATCGTTAAACGTAACTCAGCTTTACATATGAACTCTGCATGAATAAAGCGAAACTCCTTTTCTCCATGTTCTTTTTTCATTATTTCAGTGATGAGACATTTATTACTTCAACATGTCCACATCCATCTGGTACTAACGCCTACCCCCTTAAATACCAAAGTCAATGTCCTTAACGATACAAGAAAGCAAACATAAAAGTATATTAACTATGCTAAATTAATCTCCTCCTTTGATTAATCTAAATTAATCTACCTCACTCTTTCATAATCTATCTATCTATCTATCTATCTATCTATCTCACAATATATCTCTCTACCTCCCTCTTTCATAATATATTGATATATCTATTGCTTTCATAATCTATCTACCTCTCTCTCATAATATATCTGTCTACTTTTCTCTTTCATAATATATTTATTTATCTCTTTCATAATCTATCGCTTTCATAATCTATCACAATATCTCTGTCTCTCTCTCTTTATATATATATATATATATATATATATGTGTGTGTGTGTGTGTGTGTGTGTGTGTGTGTGTGTGTGTGTGTGTGTGTGTGTGTGTGTACAGCAGATCTTTAAAAGTAATTCCGGACAATGTTTTGCATACGAATTGTAAATAAATCAAGGATAATCCTTTTCTCGATGTTCTTTTTAATTTCATTGATCACACCTTTCTTACTTCAACATACCCACATCCATTTGGTACTAATGCCTACCTCCTTAAATACCAAAGTCAATGCCTTTACCGATACCAGACATAACTATGCCAAATTAATCTCCTCTGAAGTATTTTTCTATTAACAATTATCGAATATTAAACAAACACTTACTAATAATGGCTTTCTTAATCACATCGTTGATGAATAAATTTAAATAGTTTTACAGACAATCCGTAAAATCGTGAGTTA